TCTGTGGGTCTGTGACTGAGTGCTAAGCCAAGTGTGTGGAGTGTGAACAGACCACTAAGCCAGCAGACCACCTAGTGGGGCAACTACATGCTAAAATCTTTCCAGAACTTACACAGGACTAAGAGTGGTCCAAGTTTGGACAAGCCAGAGTGAATAAGCCTCATTGAGCACCTGGGCATTCAGTAAGAGCTGTCTCTGAGTTCAAACCTAATACTGCCAAAAAAAAAGTATTAAAAGGAAAAAACTTTCAGAAAGAAGAAGATAAAAAACTTCCTAATTCATTTTGTGAAGCCAGTATCACTTTAAGAGCAAAACCAAAGGTATAAGAAAATCACATAGTCTCTCATAGAACTAGATGTAACAAATCTTTAAATAGCAATGAAATCCAGCAATATGTAAGAAGGATAATGCCAAAGTGTTGTAATATAGAAATAGAAAAAGAACCCTAAAGCAATATGTTTGATTTTATTAACACAAAAAAGAGAAAAATCATATCACTTCAATAAACACAGAGAAAGCATGTGACATAATTCACCATCAGTGATAAAAAATGCTTGGCAATAGGCAGATGGAGTGGCTCAAGCGGTGAGAGAGCCTTCCTAGCAAGTGTGAGGCCCTAAGTTCAAACCCCAGTACCACCAAAAAAAAAATCCAACAAAAACTTAGCGATGTAATTCTCCATAAAGTCAGAATTAGGGCCGTGGAAGTCTACTTGCATTTCTGTTTTCCACTGTTCTGAAGATTCTCTCAAGCACAAGACTAGAAAGATAAATAGGGCCAAGAACTGGTGGCTCACCCCTATAATCCTGGCTACTCCGGGGACAGAAATCAGGAAGCCAGCCTCAACAATTAGTTCTTGAGATCCTGCCTCGAAAATACCCAACACAGAAAGGGCTGGCAGTGTGGCACAAGTGGTAGAGCACACATAAGGCCCTGAGTTCAAACCCTGGTGCCACCAAAAAAAAAAAAAAAAAAATAGAGATACACAAATGGGAAAGTAAACAGTATAATTGGCTTTATTCACAAATGGTGTGATTGTACACATGTGAAATCAAAAGGCATCTATATAAGTACTACTAGAAATAAGCGAATTTAGTAAAATCATGAGAATCAAGTCAATACATAAAATATTAATGTTGTAGTATATCCATACAATGAATGCCACTTAGCAATAAAAAGAAGATATTACCGAAACACACAATGACATGGCTGGGATCTTAAAAGCAGTATGCTGGGCTGGGGTGTGGCTCAGTGTCGGGGCACATTTAAGGCCCTGGGTTTCATCCCAACACTGCAAAAAAGAAAGAAGAAAGAAAGAAAGGAAGAGAGAGAGAGAGAAAGAAAGAAAGAAAGAAAGAAAGAAAACTCCCAGCAATGTACTGAATGAAAGAAGCCAGACACAGACACAAGGGAGTATGCACTGTGTTGTTCCATTTATATGACCTTCTAGGGCAGGAAAAACTAATCTATAATGACAGAAAGCAGACTGGAGTTTCCTTGGGCTAGGTTGAGGACTGATCACAAAAAATCATGAAGAAACCTTTGGAGTGATAAAAAGTGCTGTCTGTCTGTCTGTCTTCTTAGTGGTGGTTACCCAGTGCATACATTTTGTCCAAATGTGAACTCATGGAACTGTGCATATCTTATTATTTGTAAACTACGCCTTCAGCGTTGGTTTTTTAACAGTGGAAATGTAAGCGTCACCAATACTCTGAGCTGCAGAGAACTACACAGTCAGGGCATTCAGAGAGGAGCATGGATCCACTTCTGTTTTCAGCACTTCAGCTTGCACTCAGCCGGGGTGGACAGGGACATTCCTACATGTTGGAGACAGTGGCAATAACACCAGGCAGGAAAGATCCAGGGAAGAGAAAAAAGTGGGCCAAGAAACTAGGCCAGCATTTAATTCCTTCGGGAATCACTTGTCACTGCCAGAGCACTGTGGAAAGTTCCCTTTTTGGGACCCTCAGCTGGATGTCACAAAGCTCTTCTTTCTGGGCAAGAGGACAATAAAGGATAGAAGTCAAGGCAAGTGCCCCCCTCACGCCTTCTAGTGCAGTATGTCAGCTGTATTCCTTCTCAGAAACGAGATATGGAGATTTATCCCTAGAACAAATCGGTTTGGGGTATCTTTTGTGTGGTGGAAGCTGGAAATCATGGATGTACTCCCTTGATACAAGAGCAACTTGGGATGCTGGGGAGATGGTTGAGTAGAACTCAAATAACCTGGTTCTAATCCTGACTGCCTACAACTGCCAAGTGACCTGAAACAAGTCAGTGACCTCTCAGAGACTTAAGTTTCCTATGTTTCAAATTTCAATTTGAAGAATACTCTAATAATACTCTAAATACTCTAGTAATAATTTCTAGCTTAACAGCCATTATTAAAATCCATTGTCAATGACGTCGCAAAGTGATTGACCTTGTTCTTGCGGAGGGCTGTGCCCCCACCTCTTGGCACAGTGACATCGTCTGCCCTCTCACATCACTGTTCTTACATGAGGACACTGGCCTTAGTGGGAAGTCTGAGTCATTTGAGAAATTTAAAAAATTCCCAATATTTGGGTTGTATCCCAGACTAGTTAAATCAGAATCCCTCAGAAGTGGGCCCAAGTGTCCCTAACTTTTAGACCTATTTAATTCTCTAGTTATTTGTTCCTTACATATCAATCTCAACTCATTGCCCTCCCTGTCAAAGGTAATAGTGTGTGGGATTTGATCCATGCCATTGAGTTTGAGCATGCTATTTTATTTTGGGTTTTTTTGTAGTGTTGGGGATTGAACCAAGGGCCTTGTGCATTCTAGGCAAGTGCTCTACCACTGAGCTATACTCTCAGTCCTTTGGTTTTTGAAATAGGGCCTTGCTATATATCCCAGGTTGGCCTCAAACTCACAATCCTCTTGTATCGGTGTTGGGATTACAGGAATGTGCCATCATGATGCCCTGCTGACCATACCATTTTAACAGCAGGTGGGTAGCTGTGTGTATTTAATTGACCTGTATAGTGCTGACTTGTAGTCCTGCCACAGCCTCTGCAGTGGGAGCAAGGCAGAGCATTAGAGCTGAGCCCATGAGTCACTGTATATTCAACCATGTAGAGAAAATTCTGGATTCTCCACTATTCTCTGTTATCACAAACATTGATATTTAAGAAAGTTCATCGATTGAAAAGATTGAGTTTCTGCTATATGCTGGCATGTTGTCCTGGAGATTCTTCAGAGAGCAGAAATTAACCAGGTGGAGGGAAGAGGCAGGAATAGCAAGTTCAAGGTCCCTATGGCAGAAAGGAGGTTGGCCAGTGAGAAAAACCAAAAAGATGTTGGTGTGGCTGGAGTAGAGACTAGCCATGTGGAAGGAGCACCTTGTGGACAGCATGGGAGCAAGCTGTCCTCTGTGCTGTGTCTCCAAAAATGGTGCCTTTCAGCAATATATTGACTGACTACTCTAAAGACCACAATAGAAGGACATTAACAAAAGAAGTGTAAGAACATGACTGTGAGTCATATAAGGAAGGTCACCAAGAGTGGCATAATTTTATCTGGATCCCTTCCAGACAAAACCACAGTCCCACCCCCAGGTTTCTAGTCTCTGATAACAATGACTGGTATGTACTCAGAGTTAGGTTTGTGCCAGATGCCATTGTAAGCACTTTTTATTGTCTCACTGAATCTCCACCATCAGCCAAGAGCTATGAAGTATTACCACCCTTTCTTATGGATGCGCACAGAACTTAACAAGTTGACCATGGTCCCACACCTACTAAGTGGTAAAACTAGAATTTGAACCAGGCAGTGCCTCTCTTCCTGGAAGCTAGTTAATCACCATGTAATGCTGGTGTTGGAACCCAGTGGTGGCTTTCTTGTGGCCCCTGTTAAAATGTTTTGTTTACTCAGAAAGTGAAAACCTTGATGAGGCTTCAAGGAATGATAAGATGGTCAGTCAGATTGCAGTCCCCTTTGTGCTCACAGATAATGGGCTGTAAACAATAGCATCCTTACTCCCAGGAGGTGATAGATAGTAGCTGGAGAACAGCCCATGAAAACAGAAAACTCGGGAACAATGGAAATTCACTAATTGATATTCCTGGGGGAATTTAGGGGTAATATAATAAGTATAATATAATTGCTGATGTTAAGGCCGATGGGAATTCACTTCATAGATAGTTATCTTGCCTTAAGGACTAGAGCTTTGTGAAGCCTGGAAGCAAGCTTGGATGTCCTATGTTCTCTGGGATGAGAAACCAGAGAGTTCTGGAAACTCTGTAGAAATTGTGGGATTTGTACACAAGCAACCTTCATCAAGTGTAGGGAAATTAGTAAGTTGTCAAGAGCCTTATGCTCACCTAAAATCATTGTCATTACTACCATCAGCATTGAGTACCATGTTTTAAGGGTCTGTGATTCTATGGGATTGTATGTGGAGCCATACAAACATGATGGGGCCAATTCATTCTTAACAGGTACCCTGAAGCATTCCACAGCCAAGTCAACATTTGTAGAGTGTTTGTTCTCCGCCAAGCCATAGCTCATGTGTTCCTTAGACTAGCCAAAGAAAGTAGAAGATTCATCATTAGAGAAAAGGGGAAACAAAAAGCAAGAAAATCCACGTACCATGCACAGTCTCGTGGTGGCTGGGGAGAAGGTGTGGGAGTTAATCTTGTCAGCTTGCTTCTGAAGTTCATGTTTCTTGGCTGCTTTCTATAAAAACACATCGAAGACAGTTTATGCCTTGTGTCTATGATTCAATGGCCAGAGTATTAGAACAGATCCTAATTTTTATAGACACAGATATAAAAGTCTGGTTGTCAGTTGGCTGCTAAAATGCAGCTGTTGGTGGAAGAAGCAATAGTACATAGTCTTGCTCCCTTGCCTTTCTTGCTGAAATAAGGATTCAGCTACAGGCTGTTTATTCAAATCCACTTCTAAAGACTTCAAGGCAGTCAGTCATCAGGATGTCAGGCAGGCAGAGCCCGTTGAGGCTGATTTCTCTCGCCCAACAGCTGCAGAACCAAGAGTTGCTGAGGGAGATGATGAAGAAGGCTGAGCTGGAAATCAGTAGCAAAGTGATGGAGACAATGAAGAGACTGGAGGATCCTGTGCAGCGACAGCGCACCCTGGTGGAGCAAGAGAGACAAAAATATCTCCACGAAGAGGAGAGGATTGTCAAAAAGTTACGGTGAGTACCACTCACTTGGGGCACGTCTAGTTGTTTATTCTGAAAAGAAAAAATGTCTTTGCCCACAAGGAGGCTCTTCTTAGTTGATGTTTTCACGCTCTGTTTTTATTAGGCCCCTACTGTGTACAAGTCAGAGTGTTCCACCAGCCTCTGAACATAAGTATCCCTCCATGGAGGTCCTAGAAAATCAATGGTCCCTAGGTGACCCAGCTAGGCTCTTCAAAAGTTGGAGCATCACGCTCTTTTCTAGGTCTTAGCCCCACACAAAATTAAAAGGAGTAAACGGCAAAACCCCATGATAAATGGAAGTCGGCCTTTCATCTCAACAAATTAAAACTAATGGCCCAAATAACATAGCACTAAAATTATCCTCCTATTATTCAGCTGTAGTTAAAATTGCAGAATTAAAATGTAAGGTGTGTCTGATCCAGAATGAAAGATGCTTCATTAGACGTTACCCATCTTATATGAGGTCCTTATTGAACACATTGATCAAGCCTCACTATCGAAATGAGCAGGGTTTTATTACTTCCTCGTCGGGAGTCAGACACATCTCTTATGTTAATGTATGTTTTGTTATGCAAGAAAGATTTATCATAGAACTATTTCACTTTTTAGTACAACGAATAGTAATTTTTCTGGGTTCCTGTAGTGTTAACGATTCTCTTTTTTGCTTGGGAAACTTAACTCTCCCCAGTTGGGATTATAAAGGAGTAACTTGGAGTTTCTTTTTAGGACCAGGATAACTGAAGTCTCCAGGATAAAAAGTGATATGTTCTAGCACCAGTTTCATGTTTGAGCTGTAGCTTAGAACAACCTGGTACCAATCCAGCGTGTTTGGTTGAAATGAGACTGTCCCCTAGCAGTCCACAGGGAAAAAGTCAATTTGTGTTACTGTTTTTCTGATAAGTTAGAACACAGTTATCCATATCTCACAACAACTTGTTTTATACTTAGTTCATACATTTATAGACAGGGTTAATCACCCACCATGAAGTGGTACGGCTTTTATTTTTCTGAAATGTTTTTTTAATTATTTAAAAATAGGTCTCAAGATTTATCTTTGAGACTTCTTTATACATATACATATACATATTTATATATATCCATTTAAAATATTTGTATAAGTTTTCTAGTAAAATTAGGAAAACAGAAAATGTCCTTCCTTTAAAATTTGAGTTTCTTGGTTAGCTTGCTTCTGGCCTTTAGAAAAAATCATCTTTAGGGTTGGGGTGTAGCTCAGTGGTAGTGTGTTTGCATAGTGTGTCCACGCCACAAAAAAAAAGAAAAGAAAAGAAAAAAGGAGCTGGGCATGTAGTATATAGCTACAATCCCAGAAATAGGAGGATCATGGTTCGAGACCAGCTCAGGCAAAAGTTAACAAGACTATCTCAAAAACAAGCCAGTTATGGTTGCACACAATGCTTGTGTCTTCAGCTACTCAGCAGGTGGCATCAGGAGGATCTCGAGTTCAAAACCAGCCTGGACAAAGGTAGCAGTGAGACCCTATCTCAAAAAAGAGAAAAAAAAAGCACACTGGTGAGGCAGGCACCCTGCTCCTTGAACTATGCCTCCAGCCCTTTTTCTCTGGTTATTTTGGAAATAGGGTCTTGCTTTTTGCCCAGCCTGGACAGTAACCCTCCTATTTTATTCCCACTGTAGCTGGGATGACAGGTATGCTCTACCATGCCCAGTCTTTTCTTTTTTTTTTTTTTAAAGCATCTTTAATGTCAACAATGTCCTGAAACTAGTAACTCAGCTTAGGAATAATATAGGAAAGGTAAGAGGATTTTATCTGGGTGGCTGTGGAGTGGCCATAAATGACTAAGATGTGTACAGGGTCATGGGAAACTGTAGTCTAAGAAGCAGAACATAGAGATATGAGCATAGACCCAAACAGGTGGGCTACAGGTGCCAGATGAAACTACACAAAGGAAAGTCTGTTCTGAGCCCAGAGATCAAGAAGAATTCACCTGAATTAGCCATTAGTTAGATGCCCATAGCCACGGGCAGTACCATGCCTGTGGTAGTTTTAAAAGTATTTGGGAAACTGAACTGAAATGGCCTTGAAGGCAGGTGGATTTCATCAGCAGATTCTAGAGACTTTCCAGGAAGAGGAACTGTGCAAACTAACAAGTCCCTGGACTGAGAAAATGCACGACATCTTTAGAGAATGGGGGAAGGGGGGTTTCACTGATAATGTCTCCTATGTGAGCTGTGCCATTCCTACTTGTGTGGTGTCTTCCTGTATCTGACACCACACTCCCACCTTGGAGACCTACTTGGTGTCCATCTGGTCTGTGCTTATCAACATTGGAAGATCACACTTAACACAAACCTGAATCTGCTTTTTACAAGTTCCCACATCCACCCCCAGAAGCGGAATTTATCTGCTTGAACTTAGAATTCTGCAGTTTACAAAGCCACATGAGTGATTCCAAAGCTTCTTCACATGATGACTAAGCTCTTGAAGGATTTTTGACAAGGAAGTATTTTCTAAAGGTCCTCCTGGTGGTCTTGTTCAAGACTGATAGGGGAGGAGAAGCTACTGAGCAGTCCAGGCAAAAAGCAGTAAGACCTGAACCAAGCAGTAGAAGCAGGAAAAGGAAAAGAAATCAAAGGCAAAATACACTAAGTGATACTCACCTAAAGTCTGGGTTCTTCTTGTGTCTTTTAAAATACATATCCTTTAAATATTAGCGTAAACCTTTGTTATACCTTATGTAAGATTCAAAGTAGGTTAACTAGATGGTTTTGTGTGGTAGGAGAACTTGACTTATGAAAAACAGCTGGAAACTAACTCTGGAACATTAGGGAAGCAGTGATCAGTCTCCACCTTTTTCCTCCTCCTTCCCCGCCTCCCTCCACTTGTTAGGCTCAGGTGCTGGTGAGCCACTCAGAGGGCAGAGAGATGAAATTTGGGCCTAAAATGATGGACAGAAATTAAGTCAAGATCCTTTCTCTTTCATGGTTTTCTACATGGAAATAATATTTGGGTTTCTCATAAAAGTCAGATGAAATATGTTTCAACAAACTCTATGCTTCATTTTAACAATGGTAGAGTGAAAAGCAGCTCACACAGATAGCATCTGTGAACATCTGGTTTTCTGTTGAGCAAAGGTGATATGTTGATCACTATGCCAGAAGAGGTCCCACATTCATTTTAGCTCCATTGTCTCTTTTATAGTTTTTTAATTAGTAACTGTGATCTTTAATGCTTTATGTAAAGGGATGCCATAAGTATACAATATGAATAGATGGGACATTGTTGTGGACAATGGGTATCAGTAGACGTTCTTGTGGGATCTCCTGTGTGTACAATTATAAAATTCAGGGGCACATTGTGTAGAAGAGATTAAAACAATTTTAGGCAGAGTGACTTTGGGTCAGATGACAGATCCTTGCAGGATTAACTGCAAACTAATTATCTTGAGTCTCAGTGATTCCATTGAAGCTTTGAGGAACTAGATCAGGTATGCAGTCAACACATGAAAGCAACTGTGTTCAGTCATGTGTGGAAGAGAACTTTTCTACATAAGAGTGCTGTATTTAGAGCTCTTTGACTGAGGGATGGACACAAGGCTCTCTAAATCAAGGATGAAGTGTCCTGTGGGTATGTTCACAAAACACTTTGCACCTTTCCATTGCTCACGAATGTGATCGCTGAGCAGGTGAAGTCTTCCCCTTTGGTTCTGAAGGGACATCATTTCATCTGAAATGATGAGAGAAGCAATTTCCATGACAGAATGAATGACATCACCAAATACTCCATCCCACTGGTAGAAGTGGATAAATTTGCCTCCTGGTCCTCATTGAATACAGCACATCCTGCCAGAACCCCTTCCACAGCTGCCATGGCTCCATCCACTTGCCCACCTGGCAGGAAGGTCTTCTTCAGCATCTTCTCACTGATAACCCTGTGCCTGCCTTTTGCTTTGCCCTCTGCCTGCTCTGCACGCAGGGCTCCCAAAGGTGCCATGGCTGTTCACTTACTGCCACCTAGTGGTCCTTCCTCTCAACGTTCCTTCTCCTTAGTCTTTAAGGTTTTCTCTGAGATTCATGGACAAGAAGGACTGATACCAACAGGTTAGTGGGGTTAGTAAGGTGCCCAAGGCGGACTGTTATCTTTGAGGTTGTTTCAAGTAAAATAACTGAATTTACCTCTGTTTGAATTGCTGTCTCTCACTCTCTCTCTCTCCCTTTCTCTCTCTCTCTCTCTCTCTCTCTCTCTCTCTCTCTCTCTCTCACACACACACACAGAAATCAGATCTGTAATTGATTCTTGTCTTTACAGCTTTGAAAGCAGAGTCAGTCCTTGTTAATAGGACAATCAGTGGAAACCAGAGCTTATCAATCAGCATTTTTGCTCTCCCTTCCCCAGGGACATTTGACAATGTCTGGAGACTTTCCTGTTTGTCACAAGTTGCCAGGGTTGGGAGTGGGCCAGGAATGCTACTAAGCATCCGACAGTGAACAGGACAGTCTTCCACAGAAGAATCATTTGGTCCAAAATGGCAAATACCAAGCAGAGAATCCTGATATAAACCCATCCAGGCTTCTTTTTCTCCACTACAGTGCTAGTTCGGTCTCCTCCCCTTCCCCACCCCCACTAACCAGTCACAAAGTGCACACCCAACTCCCTTAGCTGGCATCAGTAGCACTGAAAATGAAAACTGGGTCTTCAGCCAGGCACCATTCTCCCTGGCCAACATGGGCATCCCCGTAAACAGGCCCTGGGGAACCGGCCTTGTGCATCAGTAGATTCCAGGCCACACCAAGCTGTCCTAATGTACACCTGCCATGCAAGTGGAAGTCTCACGAGGGCTGGGACACAACACAAGAGGAGGCTGGTGAGCTCTTTGCTCCTGTGCCTCCCCATCCTCACGACCTCCACTGCTGGCCCACTTCCCCCACAGCGAGCTGGAAGACTTTGTTGAAGACTTGAAGAAGGACTCTTCGTCTGCCAGCCGAGTGGTGACTCTGAAAGACGTGGAGGATGGAGCTTTCCTCCTGCGACAAGTGGGAGAAGCTGTCGCCACCCTGAAAGGTGAATGTTTTGCTGGAGAGGAGAAGTCCTCAGTGTGTACCTGGGGTGTTTGAAAATCTGTCAGTCGTGTGCTGGGCAAGGTCGCGCTCGCTGGTAATCCTGGCTACTTTCGGGAGGCTGAGGCAGAAGGATCGCTTGAGCCCTCGCTGGTAATCCTGGCTACTTTCGGGAGGCTGAGGCAGAAGGATCGCTTGAGCCCAGGAGTTCTAGACCAGGCGGGGGCAACATAGCAACACCATCTCAAATTTTTAAAGACACAACAATCTGTCAAATAGTGCAGGATGCATCCGTGCCTGCGTGTAAGTGTTTATCAAACATCAACGCAGGCCAGGAACTTGAGATCTTGTGCAACAAACATCCCTGCCTCCTTACAGCCTGTATTTTAGTATATTAGTAGGCTTTTCTTCTTTATTTTATTATTTTTTTTCGTATTGGGTTCTGGTACTTGAACTAAGGGGCTTGTGCTTGCTAGGCAGGTGCTCTGTGTACCACTTGAGCCACACCTTCAGCCCATTTTGCTTTTAGGTTATTTTTCAGATAGGGTCTGACGGTTTTTGGACTGGGGTGGCCTCTAACCATGCTCTTTCTACCTGTGCCTCACTGTAGCTGGGAGGGCTGGGCTGGCCTTGAACCATGATCCTCCCAATCTCTGCCTCCAGAATAGCTGGGATTACTGGAGTAAGCCACCATACCAGGCCTTAGATAAGATGCTGGACACCTGTGCCAAACTCATTAAAAACAACCCTGATATTCAGTTGGTCTTATCCCAATTATATAGGGTATGGGCCTAAAGGGGCTGTGACCTTCCCCACTGTCATTTCTTCTGCCTTCTGTGCTCTTAACTCAACATGTGGGTGCCGCTGCCCAGTATTTGGAGAGGGGTGGGATGGGAGTGCATGTTCTGGCATTTTCCCTACATTTCACCAGCTGCTTTGGCCTGCAGGGGAATTTCCAACCTTACAAAACAAGATGCGTGCTGTCCTGCGCATAGAAGTAGAGGCCGTGCGTTTTCTGAAGGAGGAGCCGTACAAGCTGGACAGCCTCCTGAAGCGTGTGCGGGGCATGACAGACGTCCTGACCATGTTGCGGAGGTGACCAGTGCCCTCCAGGCTGGAGTGGCCTTTGAGGAGGAAGGGGAGGCAGGGAAGCTGGGGGCAGGGGGAGATGCCGGGGACCCCAGCCTTGGTCTCTCTCTGAGGGCCCCTCTGCAGTGTCGTTACTTCCAGTCTTATATCTGACGTCCTGGGACACAGCCATGACTCTTTGGGTCCTGAACCTTTGTTGTAATGTGGCTTAAGGTTCTTGACTTCTCCTGCTAAGTCCACACCTGACGATTCAGGAAAGAATTGTGGTCTCCTATAAGAGCACTCATTTTAAATTGTCACAATGAGCTTTTGCCTCTCTTCATTAAGTCATACCTAAAAGACTAAAACACACCACCCTTATGAAGGAAAAGAGATATGGGCTAGTGGGTGACAGCCCATTGTCCCTGGGAGGCAGTTAACAGATGTTTTCATGGCCAGCGCAGGATGACGGGGCTCAGTGTTTGTCTTACCTCTACTGAAGGCAGGTTCTGAAAGAAGATGGGATTGCGTTTCGAATGTCGTGCGACCATCTGTCTCATAAAATAGCGCCACTTAAGTAATGTAAAAAATAAAAGAAATATAGTTGTCATTAGATGGCTATCCCACACCTTTTTACAAATGGTTGTGTATGAGTTTCTTTTGAGTGTAACACTGTACTCAGCCTGGAGAAAGACAGAAGGATGGTAGACATACATACACCCCCCCCAAGGACAGACGTGTGTCCTTATGCCATAGTAAAGAAAACATAAGACATGGCCAAGGTAGAATGCTAGAGGTAAGAGAGGGCAAAGCCTTGAGAATCCTTGGAGACTTAAGGGACTGGGAGAAGCAAAGTAAAAAGTGAAAGAAACAGAGAAGTTAGTAATAGAGGACAGTCACAGAATGAAATGGCATTTTCCAAATCAGAGGGGACAGGGGACTGGCAGAGTGGCTCAAGTGGTAGAGCACCTGCCTAGCAAGCATGGGGTCCTGAGTTCAAATCCCAGTACCACTCCCCCACCAAAAAGGGAAAAAAAAAGAAAAGAGAGAGTGTGTGTGTGCATTTTAGTAAGAAGGGAATACAGGACTAATTAAAATTGCAGATCAAGTCCCAAGTTTGACATTGTCTTACATAAAACTTTTCCACATTAATTGTAACTGCACCCAAGGAAGACATTATTATCATCGTCATTGTCCCCATTACATTTTACAGAAAAGTATCAGAGGCTGAAAAAGGTGGTATCCCATCATCCCATAGCGAGTTCAAAGTAGAACTGGTACTCAAAGACAGGTGTCTGACTCCAAAGTTCCCATGTTTCCCACTATATTCTGGGTGCAGATGTCAGATACCATCATATGACTCTAAGAGAACTGGACATGGTTACACACACCTGTAATACCAGCACTCAGGTGGCAGAGGTAGGAGGATTGCAGGCTGAAAGCCAGCCTGGGCTACATAGGGAGATTCTGTCCCATAAAACCAAGGGCTGGGAAGGTAGCTTTTGATGGTAGAGCACTTGCCTTGGATAGTTGAGTCCAGGTTGAGTTACAGGAAGAGCAAACAAAAGCAATTAGAATATAGGCCGCCCTGCCCTCCGCGTCTGCCCAGAGAGTGTGAAGGACTTTGGGAACCTTCTCAGTAACAACCAGCTGGATCTGAGGGCAGCACAGGCGGGGATCACGTGGAGGACTCAGTATCATTAGACACGTTCACTGCATGTCACTGCCCCCCATACTGAAAGACTGTCATCAGACTAGACATCAGTGCAAGTACAAAGGGAAGGAGAACATCCCCGCCTGGAAGGACAGGGAAAGAGGTAACTAGGAGTCCATCCAGGGCCTTAGGAAGTTGTCATGGAAACCCTCATCCTCATCCCTGAGCTGCAACTCTGATTTTCTGAATGTTTTCACCTCACCTGTCTTTGGGAAGCCTGGCGTTCAAGTACACACAATGGGAAGATGGAAGGTACATATTTCAGCAGTTAATTTGCTCTGCATGTTTTCTCCTAGACACGTCACCGATGGGCTTCTGAAAGGCACAGATGCAGCCCAAACTGCACAGTACGTCGCTATGGAAAAGGCCACGGCTGCAGAGGTCCTGAGGAACCAGGAGGAGGCAGCCCATGGCCCTGGGCAGCTCCCGCATTGTCCAGGTGTCCCTGGCGATGTGAAGTCAGAGGTGGTGGCCCTGTCTGGCATGACAGTTCACCATGCACAGAGCTCCCCTGTGGTCATCCAACCCTCCCAGCACTCCTCAGCCCTGCTGAACCCCACCCAGAACTTGCCTGGAGGGACTGGTCCCCACACAGCCAGCCCCCCAGCAGCCACACAGGAAGTGACCTCTGTGCTGCAGTCGGCTCCAGGCCCCCAGTCCCCTCAGACACCCATGAATGGTTCTACCGTGCAGAGCTTGTTCACTGAAGACATCCACAGTTCCAGTGCCAGGAACAGGGCGGTGTCCACTGAGGTAGAGTCCATTCCCATGGCTGGGACCCCTAACCACGGTCCCTCCCCATAACATGCTCTCCCAGCTCCTAGACAGCAGTTCCTGCATAGAAGTGGAACTGAGGCACAGGAGCTTGTAACTGCGTTTAATTTCTAACAGACTCATAGAAACACAGAAGTGTGCCTATTAATAGAGTACTACGTGATGTTTTGATGCATGGGTACATGTTTGCATTGTGTAATCAAGGAGGGAGATTGTTCTGTTCTTAGTTTGGGGGATTTTGATTCTGTTCGCTTGCTCAATTTAAAAAAAAAAAGTTGGTAGTGGAAAACAACACATTTTGAAAGTGTTATCTGTGCCACCCCCTCCCCCTTTTTGGGACTGGAGTTTGAGCTCAGGACCTCACACTTGCTAGGCAGGCGCTCTGCCATTTGAGCCACTCCACTAACCCTTTTTGGTGATGGGTTTTTTCAAGATAAGTTCTCAAGAACTATTTTCCCAGGGCTGCCTTTGAACCACGATCCTCACGATCTCTGCCTCCTGAGTAGGTAGGTAGGATTGCGGGCATGAGCCACCAACACCCTCCCCCCGCCTTTTTTTGGGGCAGTGCTGAGTCTCAAACTCGGGACCTTGCGCGTGCTGAGCAAGCGCTCTGCCACTCGAGCCTCACCTCCAGCCCTTTCTGCTTCAGTTGATTTTTCAGATAGGATTTGGCATGGGTTTTTGTTTTTTTTTTGCTCAGGCCAGTCTTGAACTACAAGTGATCCTCCCACCTGTATAGCTGGGATTACAGATACACACCATCAAACCCAGCTTGTTCTTTAAGATCAGGTCTTGCTAACTGTTTTGCCCAGCCTAGCCTTGACTCATGATCCTCCCATCTCCACCTCCCATGTAGCAAGAATTACAGGCATGAGCCACCATGCACAGCCTTGTCTCCATTTTATTTATTTAGTGTTGGCAGAAATATAAGTAAGTGCTCAGTGATAACTTGAGGGGCGACTTGGGGTTTCAGCACTTACAACCCTGTGGATGAATGTCACCTGGGCTGAAATGCAGCCCATGTAGCTCTAGAGAATGTGGCCAAGAACAGGTGGTGAGGACTCTGTAAGATCTGAGTCCCAGCATCCCTCACATGGAAAGCAGGGCATTATTTTACCAATACTTTAACCGTGTCACACCCCCTCTCCCTCCTCTGTGAAGTCTCTAGACTCTATTAGCTTTTCCCTCTGGCTTTGAGCCTTGCCTCACTTTCTGTTTTCCTTCAGAAAGTAGAACGGAAATGGGAAGATAAAAGGCAGAACGTGGACCACTGCAATGGAAAAGAGTTCGAGAAGCTCCTGGCAGAGGCTCAGGCCAATATCATGAAGTCAATTCCAAACCTGGAGATGCCACCAGCTTCTGGCCCACTGCCCAAGGGAGATGCCCCAGTGGACAAGCTGGAGCCTTCAGGTGAGCTCCAGTCCCACAGCAGCTACTCAGGGAGCTGGGCAGCTGACTGTCCTCAGGTCAGTGTGGTGTCACACATGGAAGCCTGTGCCGGCAAGGCCAATGGCTCACTTCTAAAAATCCTGTAAAGTTTGGTCATTGGAAAAACAAATCCCCAGGTGATCCTGAGATCTTTCCTACTGATTCTCAAGTCTCACCATGGCAGGGAAGTCACGTTCAGTTTTCGTATACTAAACGATGTCCAGTAAAAGAAAATGTAAATTTCTACCTTCACACTTCACAGCACCAGCTGGGAGAATAGAAAGTCTGCATTTAAAACAAGAGCTGGTAGCTCACGCCTATAATCCTAGGTACCTGGGAGGCTGACATCAGGAGGATCATAGTTCAAGGCCAGCCCGGGCAAATAGTTCATGAGACACCCCCCCTTCCAAAATAACCACAGCCAAACAGGCGGGGAATGTGACTCAGCAGTAGAGCACCTGCTTAACAAGTGAGAAACCCTGAGTTCAAACCCCAATATGCTGCAAAAAGGAAACACCAGCTTTTATGAGCTGCCCAGGAGATATTCGATCACAAGACAAAACTGCATTTTTAAAATCAGAATGAGTAGAATGTATGTCTAACCAGCTTGTCTATGTATTTGACATACATTTGAATGTATGTCAAAGCTGTAAAATACAGTCATGTGCCACATAAGACTTTGGTCAGCAGTGGACCACATGAGACGATTATATCACCTGGTGACACTGCTGCCATCTCAGTCTGTGCAGATACACTCTGTGGTGTTTAGACCTACGAAAGTGCCTAAGGACACACTTCTCAGAATGTACCCGCTGTTAGTGATACGTGACTGTAACTTTTTAAAAACACACTTCTAAATCTTCCACTAATGACAAGCCACATGCCTCATTCTGATCCTAAAATTACAGATATAGAGATGTTATTTATGTGCAGTTTAATAACTGCAATGTCACATGCAACAGTACCTGTCGAACAACTAAAATTACCTTAAAAAAGAATGGCCATATTGCCTTCCTGTCCAGGAACACTGGAGTGGGGTGGACCTTGTTTCACTGGCACATTCCCTCCCCACATTCACTCATTTCATTCCTGGAACTCTGCCCTTCAGTCTGGGCTGGAGGCCTCCTTTCCCTTCCTTCTGGAAGCTAGGCAATGACTACCCAGAAGGGTAGGATCCCAGGAGGAGCTGTTCTTTTCCCATAAAGCTGACTTTTCTCCCAAGGTCCCCAGGGAGGATTTCTGAGGGGTAAAGGTGATCTATGGCATCACACTCCGACCTGCGGAAGTCTGCCTTCCCCGTTGTTAATTCTGCCATACAGTCCTTTGATGTCTTCCATGGTTCCCATAAGTATTCCTTCTCATCTTTACACAGCAGAATAGGTCCTTGGATTTTGTTAAAATCTTCAGTCTTTCAGATAGAAAAATGTTTGCATAAATTATTTAAATTACTCCCAAAGGTATTTTTACTTAGTTAAAATGTTCTGTTAGGGCTGGGGTCATGATTCAAGTGGTATAGCACTTGCCTAGCAAGTGTAAATGTCCTCAGTTCAATTTCCAGTATTGCTCCCCATACACAGATAGATAGATAGATATGTGTATTGTATATATACACACACACATACATATACATACATATCGGCCAGGTATATATCATGGCACATGACTTAGTCCCAGGAAGGTGGAGATTGGGAGAATCACAATTCAAGACCAGCCCAGGCAAAAAGTTAATGAGACCTAGTCTCAACAATTAAACTAGATGTGGTGATTCTCACCTCTAATCCCAGCTAGGTAGGAGGATTGAAATCTGAGGCAAATTCTGGGCAAATTGCAAGACCCTATCTGAAAAATAAGTAAATTAAAAAAGGGCTGGATGTGTAGATCAAGTGGTAGATTCTTGCTAATCCACCTTAGCAGGATTCTTTGCTAAAATGTGACCAAGGTCAAGTCAAGAAGGGATCTCAGGGGAGCTTAGTCAAGTTACAGAGCAGAGAAGACAGTTCCTCCAGAACTGAGCAGCTGTGCCAGTCCTAGAGAGACCCACAAAGCCAAGGCAGCCCTCCCAGGCTGGGCTGTGGCTGACTCAGGAACTGCAGGACCCTGTGACAGGTACCCTTGGCAGGTGAATCACTTGCTTTTGTTCACCTGGATGACTTGCCTGGGTCTTCATTACAGCTTTAAGTAGAAACTCAAAATCTTCCTGAAAAACCTGGTAGGAAGCCAGGCCATGCCCTAGAGAGAGCAGGGACAAAGCCCCAGGTCTTGAACTGGAGACTCCATTGCTTTGTGGAACAATGGGGTGGAAAGTGGAGAAGGGCAGAGCCTATTGGGTTGACTTTTTGAGTAATGAATATCTTTTCCTACGACTAGAGGGAGCTGAGCACATCCTGTCTCCCAACTCTGGCCTCACCCTAACTTGTCATCTTCTCGTTTCTGTGTTTGCTGCCTTCTTTGTCCAACTCCATAACTATATAAATAATAATTTTAAAATTTTCCCCTGGCTTTGTTCTTTATTCCCATTTCCTCATTGGTCCTCCCTTGTCCATAGTTTCCCTAACAGTAACCTGTATAAATCTCTCTTTTTGTTTTTTGTCAGTATGAGGGTTTGAACTCAGGGCCTCATTCTTGCTCTGCTACTTGAGCAACCCCGCCAGCCCTTCTTTGTTTTGGGTATTTTTGAGATAGGGTCTAGAGAATTATTTACCCTGGCTGGTCTTGAACCCGATCCTTCTGATCTCCACCCGCTGGGTAGCTAGGATTACAGGAGTGAGCCATCGGTGCCCAGCTGTAAATTCCTTACATAAAGCTATTTTTTTTTTAGACTGCGATGAGGAAGGCTTTGGAGGCCTTGTACTGGTTTTGCACTTGCCTTTAGTTTTTCATTTTTCATTTTTCCAATGTTTCCTCAGTCTTTTTGCACAAGAAATTCAGTTAATAAAAAACAACAAATAGTTTGCACAACATTTACAATAAGCCAAGGGCTCTATATAAGTCATTTAATCCTCTGAATATCCCGGTGGAGAAGGTATCATTGCAATACCAACATAACAGATAAGAAAACTGACACAGAGAAAGGTTAGTCATTTTGAAGGGTCTCTCTGGGACTTAAATCCAGTTGGTCTTACAGGTCTATACCCTTAATCATGGCTCTGTGGAGAGAAGAGAGAATTTTTAGGTCAAATTGTGTTAAATTCATAGCAATACATTGGGCGTTCTGGAGATTATTTTGCAAATAGATTATCTTTGAAATTTTATACTATCTTCCAGAAGATTCTCCAAATTCAGACCAGGACTTGGACAAGCTAGGGGGGAAGTCACCCCCTCCACCTCCTCCACCCCCTCGGCGAACCTACCTGCCTGGATCAGGGCTTACCACCACAAGATCAGGCGATGTGGTCTACACCAGCAGGAAGGAATCCACCAGCACTAAGGTCTGTTGGGTTGAGCCCTCGTAAACTGGTTTCCGAATATAAAAAATACCCTAGGCAAGGTTCTGTCTGAACATAGCAAGCAGTGGGGCAGGGAAGAGAAGGAGGGACTTAACTAACCGCGGTCCCCAGGAACATGTCAGCTAGTGTTAGACTAGGACTGGATTGAAGCACCACGAATTTTATCCTTACTTGACTTTAGCAGCAACAGTGGGAATGCAGATCACGGCTACTTGCCAAGCAGGGGATCGTGGGATTAAAAATGGAGGTGGGAGGAAGAAGGGCAAGAAAGACTCACTTACAAAGGTAACATAGATCAAGCAACACACTTGTGGGAGTAAAAACAGAACTGAATTAAATGAGCTGAATTCCCACTTGGCAAGTTTGTCTCTTGTGTTAAACATAGAATATAATTTCCAAGGAAATGTAGCGTGTGGAAGGGCTTTCCATGAAGACACTGAATGTCAAGAGTTACAATTTTATTATAAGTGTTCAGTTTATTCACCACAATGACAATTTACACAACAAAAAACTCCAGCAAGGGGATAAATTAGCCTTTCAGCTAGATGTGAAGAGCCAGGAAGCCAGTGGGCCAGGCAGTGAGGGGCCATTGGATTCTGTCCCTTTTTTTGTTAATACCTGAGAGGTCTTCAGCCAACATCTGTGGTTTGAATCTCTTATAGGCAAGCAATGAAGATGCTGGACCAAGCCCACAGACTAAAGCCACAAAATGTCTCACGGAGGAGCCTGCTTCAACCTGGGCACCATCCCCACCACCAGTCACTGCCTTCTTCTCAAAGGATGAGGAAGAAGAAGAAGAAGAAGGAGATAAAATAATGGCAGAACTCCAGGTATGGGCAAGAGGTGACTGCTGTTGACTCCCTGACATCTTGTCTGGGACTCTCTGATCATAGATCTCACAGATCTGTTAGCTGGAGAGAACTAGTGGATGGGTCTGGACCTGCGCCATGTTTGCTGTACTTCTGGGCTTGGCCCCCACTTTTCCAAGATGGTACTGATGCAGGCTCTCAGGGCATCTGTAAGGTGTGAGGAGTGACCACTTCATGGAACAATGCCAGAAAGTGAATGCAGTAAACCAGTTGCACACCTCCCTGGCTCTGACTAGGACTTCCTCTCCTTCCTTTCAGACTTAATAGTCTGCTTCTCCCCAGAAACAGTTAAGATGGGGACTAGAAATGCAGCTATTGGCTTGTCTTGGGAAGGAGTGGATTGAAGTGCACTTTGGCTCTAGCCTTGACTGACCTTGAATCATGACTGAAGGCCAATGACTGGCCTCCTATTCTGAAGAGCTATATAATTTTATTTCTACTTTTCTTCAGCCTATTTGAAAAATGCTATTTTTATTAGTTTTAAGTGTTTTCTTTTTAACTAATGGACATAGTTCACAGTTAGAATTAAGGAGGACCTTTTGTGAAGGCACTGTATGTTAAGGAGTTATAATTTTATTATTCTTCCTGGAAGTGATGCCACTTTCGATCATGGATATAAGTCTGCCCTATAAGATTATTCTACAAACTTTTCTCATTAGAGACATGTACACAATTCCTAGAGTGAACTTTGTTTGTATTTTATTTGACTCATGCTTATCCTAGGGTGTTTCTGTCCATCAGTCAGACCACAGCCTCCGGAGGGCTCCAAACCATGTTTTCTCTTCACCTCTGTACCAGTGGCTTTATGCCAACCCATAAATTTTCATTCTTCATTGGGAGTCCGGAGAACTTTAGACCATGTCATTTTCACAGCACTCATTCTACTCTGGTCTCCATGGTAACAACAGCCAAAATTGAATTGAATTTCACAGGGAAAATGGGGCTGCTGATTGTTCTGACGAGACTTGCGAGACTGGCCTGGGACAACCCTTCCACTGAGAACTAATTACAGGCTCTCAGAATGGTTGGAGACTCTTAAACGTTAATGACCTTGAGACTCATGAGTGACCTTGAGCCCTCTAACAGAAGCCATATATTTGTTGAGAATGGTTCTCTCCACTGAAGTCTTAATCTTCAATGCCCTCTTTGATGACCTTTTACAAAGGGTAGAGTGCCGGGCTTCTTGCTGTGTGGTTGGTGGCTATGAAATGATGGTGAATGAAGCTCTCTAACCCTAACTGAACCAATCCTTGTTGGTCCTCCTGTTGGGATAAAGACCCAACCTCCTGAACCAGAAAGTTGACCAATGGTGCTGAACCAGTGGTGCTGAACCAATGGTGCTGGCTTCTTTGTCTGAACATGGTCCTAAGTTAGACCCCAGGCAGGACAAGGAGACTCTGCCGTGCTTTCCAGGAGTAGTCATGGGACAGAATTCTGTGCTGATGTCACCAGGCATCAGAAGAAAAACCAGGCTGTGAAATCCAGGGCCTAACAGCCCAAAGGAGATGGCACGAGCCTCAGTCAGCAGAGCCATCGATAGGCAGATAAGCCAAGCACGTCCAGGGTGAGACAGGCCTGGCTATGGAGCAGCAGGGACAGAGGGTGATAGAGGAGAGGGATATGCAGAGTCGTGGAGAAAAGAACTTGAGGAAAACCCTCTTCATCAGCTACACTTGAACTTTAGGACAACTGTGAAATGTTCGCCTAGAGAAGTCATGCCTTCTCTCTGTCTGCCAAGTTGTCTCCCCATAACAACATTTGGTATAAGGAAAATACCAGCCAATTAAATAAGTGCTTTTTAATCCTGACTGCACAGTAGAATTACTTATAACTCAGAGATTTTAATTTACTCTCTGAATGAGGCTTGGATATGAGAGGTTTGTTTTGTTTTGCTTTGCTTTTTTTGCTCACTTGTTTGTTTTCAAGCTGGGTAATATCTTACTCAGTTGGGTACCACTGATGCACATGAACGTGGGTCCCCAAGTTGTCATCTCCTTTGTTCTCGTGACCATGGTGTCAAGAGGCTCTCTGGAATGCCTGCTTCCCTTTCAGCTGGGTAGACACCAACACTTTCTCCTTTTGTCTGAGAACTGGCCTCCCTGACTCAGGGTTCCGTGTGCTTCAATTATAACTGGTAGTTTTCAGAGCAAGTCCCCAGGACTCAGGCAGCTTCCTGGCTGCTCTGAACCATACAGATGCTAATGAATATTGCTGTATTATAAATGTGTGGACCGGAGGTGTGGCTCAAGTGGTATAGTGCCTGCCTAGCAAGTGTGAAACCCTGAGTTCAAACCCCAGTACTGCTTAAAAAACAAAAAGAGAAAAAATGAGCAACAGAGCAGGGTGGGGCCTGTCACTACTTCAAAGAATGGAGTGGTAAGGCTTATTTGTAGTTAAAGGTTTAAGGTGTCTTGTGAGCTTTTTTCCCGTAATTTCAATAAAGTTAGTTTTTACAAAAAGAAAGAAAAGGTATCTTTTAAAAATTCATTTACATATTCAACAACATGAGAAGGTCAGAGCAAGATGCCTAAGAACAGATAAGGTTCAGCTCAGGAAGAAGAAAAGACACTACCTTTGATTTCATTGTTTTCGTTTCTTCGTCCTTGGTACTAGAGATGGAACCCAGAGCTTCATGCTAAGCTCGTTGTCCTTCCACTGAGCTGCATTCCAGCCCAAGGCTGGTCCTCTTAAGGGACCAGCCCCCAGGCCAACTCTGCCAACCAGAGGCCCAGTGGGTGCTGGATTTCACTGTGCTGCCTCCCAGGCATGGGCCCACCTGTAGAACCAGGCCTGGGGTCTCTGCGCCTCTGGATTCCTGCCTTTTTCCCTCTCTTCTGCCTGATACACTTGGATCCCCATTAACCTCAGTATTTTAATTCCTTAGGCATTCCAGAAGTGTTCCTTTATGGATGTAAATTCAAACAGTCATGCTGAGCAGTTCCGGGCTGACAGTCACGCTAAAGATACTAGGCCAGGCGCCACAGTCCCATCCAAGGACAAGAAGGTAACACGTGGCAATTACGCATTTGCCACATGGCCAGATAGCCCTTCCTTCCTTGCTGATACTAACACGGCTCCCTTGCATTTGACCTTTGTGCCCTTTCTCTTTTTCTCTCCTTTTTCTTTTAACTAATAAGAGACACAGGGTTAGGTTGAGATTAGAGATACCTGCCTCAGGTTTCCAGAGTAAGTGCTATGTCTTTCTGCACAGCACACAACAATATATGCAAAAGCTAGACAGTATCTTCCCAAACTAGAGTTTATGTCTTTCAAGATTTTTCTAGAACAATTCCTTGGGGAAAAAAAAAAAGCCAAAAAAGTCTAAAGAGCAATTGAGTGCATAGAATTTTTCTAATTTTAACAAGTCTTCAGGACAAAAAAATCTGTGCTAAAATAGATGAGGGGTGGAAATGTGGCTCAAATGAGTTCAAGCCCCAGTAGTGTGAACAAAAAAGCAAAATAAAATAAAAAATAGGGGAAAGCCTTTGATTTAATGCACAGAAAGTGCCTGCCACCACATGCGTGCAAGTACAGAATCATGGACGCATACACATATGTGTTTGCACATCATCCAAGGATGCCATTCATAATTTTTGCAAAGTACTGCTGAAGTGTACCTTCCAAGACAGTAAGTCTAGTATAGTTTTCATGGTAAAATATACTGGTGGCTTCAAAAAGGTGTCCAGACTCTGACACAAAGCTGCTGCCCTTGCTGAAGTCTATTAGGGAAAGGAATGTTTGCCCCAATTATCCCAGCTGCAACTTTAAGTTGAATGTAGCACATTTGTGATTTGGGGACTTAAAGCAGTGCTATTTTTAATTAAGACGCTGTCTAAATTTCAGGATAAAAAGCTTCACCAACTCAAGTCCTAACATTTCTTACCAGGAACTTGTGTTGCAGAATTCAGGGACTTTAGAACCCCTTCAATAAAGTCAAACAAATCAGGTGCGGGATAGCCCAATAGTTACCCCAGCTGGGTCCCTTGGTCCATGTATAAGTCAGCTCTGTGAGCTAGAGTCATATCACAATGTTGGAAGGCCCACAGAACACAGCTTTGAAGCACCCTGCTCCTCTGTGGCTCTCAACCATCACAGAGCCTGTGTGAACCATGTCTGCCATATAATGTATGCATGACATTGTCAGCGGGGAGGGGAATCTGTGCACCAGGGGAGATTATTGTTGATAAATCTTTCTCATGAAGAAAACCTCCTACTGATTGAATTGAACTCATGAAATCACATTGGAAATACATTGCTTTGGTCAGTATGTGGAATTTTCTTATGTGTCCTTATAAGAACTAATTCATGGATAGCCCCTGGCAGGTCATACTTGGACCAATGTGACCATTTCTAAACACTAATTGGGGGCTTGGTACTTCTCGAAAATCCCTCTGGAGATAATCACTGTCTCATCGGAGAATTTTTTTTTAATTGGCTGGAATAGCACTTGAGATTTCTTTCCCCACAATTAAAAATCTGTATCCTGTTGATATCATTTATTGAAACCAAGAACCCACTGAGAACATCAGGCCTTTATTGAGTGCCCAGCACTGAGTTTAGTTGTAGATGCTTATTCAGAATCATATCCAATAGTTAGATCAATGTCACAATAACCATAATTGTCAGACCTGTCCCCCAGTTTTTGCCATTAACCTCTATGTGGGCTATTCATCTACCCTTCCACAGACCTTTCTTCTTCTATCATCATGAAGCTCAGCCTAGTATTTCACGTTTGTACAATTTTTTGTGACTATGTCTTTATTTATTGTTCACATACATACTGAGATTGCTCCTCCATTGTCTAAGCAATGTTGGGCCTAGAACAAATATGAAAGAGGTTTAATTACCTTTTACACAGAGTCTTGCCTATCTAAGATCAAGAAATTACTATCAGTTTATGTGATGATTGTGACCAAGTTACACTGAAGTTCATGCACTTGCTTTGATACATTTATTCCTTCTTCTAGCCCAGGGATAAGAATGAGTTCTTGTGATATGTAAATTTGACATTTTTAACTTGGCAATTTTCCACTGTAGTATTTCCACTACTGAGTCAGTACTAAAGTACATATCTCGCAGGGTGACATTGGAATAGTTAGCAAGGGGAGTGGCATAGGCTCTGACCATCCAGAACCGATGCCAGTCCCAACGCCCAAGGAATGGAGCCAGCAGGACACCAGCCATGCATGTGTCTTCTTGAGATTATGAGATTATGTGTCACCAATCCCTGCTTTGATCCAGAGAGTAAATTCTCACTCAGGTTCTGGCATAAAATGGAATTAAAACCTTAGGCTCAAATCTCATTTATTTTTCTTCTTAAAACACTTAATATTCCAGTTGTTTTATCTTCTGAATTTAAAATCCCACAAAAGAAATTCTGTTGTTCATTTGTAGCACCTGAGTCACTGTCCTTATTTGGGGACTTTTGGGGGGACCAGCGGAAGTTAAACAAGAAATGTTTGGTGGCTTACGTGCCATGTACTTGTGAATATTTCCATGCGATTAATACCGACTGTTGCTTGTGTGTTATTTCCTGATTGTGTGTGGATGTTCTTTCCGTCTTCAGCAAGGGCAGTAGGATTGCTCTGGGTTGACTTTGGCTCAGCCTGGGTTATTATGCTTTGTTCTATCGTCATTGCTTAACCAAATATCCTTCATTGGGATTGTGTGCCACCCTGTGATCACTGCTTTCTCTTGGGACTCTGCAACAAGAAGACAGGGCAGCAGTGTCTTGGGAGGTAACAAGGCATCCTAGTGCTAGGGTTATGGTAGGCCTGAGACTGCTCGTACACCCAGGCAGAAAGGCTGTGCTTCCAGATGAACTGCTCTGATTACCTGCCTCCTTACTGGGTCCGTTACCCTGAGTCTTCATCATAAAATCCAAAGAACAAAAGCTGAAGCATGACACCCCAGAGAGCACATTCCCTCAGATACCTGTTTTGTGTTTAGATCGCAGTCATGCACCACATAACGACATTTTGGTCAACAGTGGGCCATATACATGTGGTGATCCCACAGGATTTAATGGAGCTCAAAAATCCCTGTCCCCAAATGACATCACAGCCATCATACAGTCATAGTAGAACACATTATCCATGTGCCTGTGGCCATGCTGACATAAAGAGACACTGCACTGCCAGTCACGTGAAGGAATAGCACAGGCAATTGTGTGGAGTACCTAGTACACGACAATGAAAATAAACAACTTTGTTACTGGTTTATGCATTTTCTGCACTAGTCTTTATGTCATCAGAACAATATATAAAAAACAAAAGTTGACTGTAAAGCAGGGAACTGTTAAGCCAGCAGTAGCTTCAGGCACCTTGTGCTTACTGCAGCTCTTGATTGCATCAAGAAAGGGACTGACCTAGACACCTAGGCTTGTGTAAGTCTACTCTATGATCTTTGCCCAATGACAATCACTTAATGATACATCTCTGAGAATGTGTCCTCAATGTTGTCATGTGTGACTGTGTGCTGTAGTACCACTATCACTGTGAATTTGGCTCTGATCATCTTGGCTATTATTAATTTGAAGGTTATTTTTGACACTTTGGTATCAGCAAGGACATTTTTAATCTATCATTTGACCAAGGGAAAAAAATAATGATTTTTTTTTTAATCTCAAAGTACCACACTCAACCAATGCAAACGTCTTCAGAGGACAATTTCCACAGCAGAAGCACAGATAGTACTAGAATAACTAGCTGGAAGAGACATCCGAAAGGCCCCGCTCTTGCTCCTCAGTTTATAGGCAAAAACTGAGGTGTAGAGAAGTGAAATAAAAGACTTGCCAAAGTCACACAGTTAGGTGGCAGATCTGGATTTGAATTCAGATGCTCTGCTTGCTCCACGATTTTTGCGTTTTGCAATTCTGGTTTTAGGTTCTGCTAAGATTACAGTCCAGCGTTGAAAAGAGGGTGTGTTATGGGGTCTTTATTCTCTTCACTGGTCCCCCACAAATTTGAAGTACTTGAAATATTTTGCTAATTGAGACTTTCATCTTGTGCAAACACAGGGCATTTTTGGAAGCTGGAGAACAAAGCAATGCCAGGTAAACTGAGTTTAGGCTTGGGATTGCTGTGTGACTATTATGCTTGGTCCGCATGTTTGAAAATGTGGTTAAAGGAGCAATTTAGTTGTAGCCCACTGTGGGGGGATATGGCTTTGTGGAGTAACATGTCGTACACTATTCTACCAGAATTTGGAATTTTTCCATGAAGATGTACGGACATCTGATGTTCAATATGAAAATGGCACCCAAGTGGAATCTCAAAAGGTGAGTTTGCTACATCTGTGTTCCAGACGATACCATGAAGATTAATTACCCACCTCTGCAGATCCGTTTCTGATTAATGTGTGTGGTTTCCTCCTCCACTCTTCCTCTCAGGTTACCACAGGGCCTCTAAGACCTAGTGACCCTCCTAAGTGGGAAAGAGGAATAGAGAATAGGATCTCTGACTCATCAAGAGCGTCAGATTTTAAAACAGACATCTTAACGAAGGAAAGTTCCATAGCCAATAAGAGTTTATTCAGAGACAGTAAAAACTATCCCCCAAAAAATGCGCCTAAGGTCAGTTTCAGTGTCTCTGGCCTTAACTCCTTAGAAGATGACGTGAACAAGGGGCTTAAGGTCTCAGGACTGCGGTACCCTGTACCTGACCCTGAAAACCAGAAGTTGAATTATGGAAAGACGAAGGAGATCGGTCAAGAAGGACAAGAAAACAGTGATAATTGTCACGTCCCCTCCCCACCTAGATCCACGGATTTGAGCATCTGTGATATCAAATCACAAGATCAAGATGTTCTCCTAACAGATTTTGGCCAAGTTGTTCTAAGAGCCAAAGGCGCTAGGCACACTACTGTGAACCCCAATGAGGATGGAGAACCAAGTCCAAGTTCTCCCACGGATGAAAACACAGCCACCGATAACATCGCCTTCATGATTACCAAAACTGCTGTCCAGGTTCTGTCCAGTGGAGAGGTCCACGATATAGTGAGCCAAAAGGGACAAGAGGTACAGACGGTTAATATCGATGCCAAAAAAGAGACAACTTCCCAACAAGAAGGAACCGAAAATGAAGAGCCAGTCGTGTGCCTAGACAAGAAACCAGTTATTATCATTTTTGATGAACCCATGGACATCCGATCTGCATATAAGAGACTTTCGACCATCTTTGAAGAATGTGATGAGGACTTAGAAAGAATGATGACAGAGGAGAAGATCGAGGAGGAGGAAGAGGAGGAAAATGGAGATGCTGCAGTTCAGAATAGCTCTCCCCACGTGTTTCACACACAGGTTTCCCTTCTTAATATGGGACAAGCAGAGACAAAATTACAGCCACACTCCCCATCAGCAGAGGCCAAAACTCCAGGGGAACAGGAGATGAATAAAACTGAGCAAAGCAAGTTCAGCCTGACTGATTCTCCACATTTAGATAGCAAGGGTGACATGACTGATGACCAATTTGAAAGCCCCAAGAAAAAATTTAAATTCAAGTTTCCCAAAAAGCAACTTGCTGCTCTTACTCAGGCAATTCGCACAGGAACCAAAACAGGAAAGAAGACGTTGCAGGTGGTAGTCTACGAAGAGGAAGAAGAGGATGGTACTTTGAAACAGCACAAGGAAGCCAAGCGATTTGAGATCACCAGGTCTCAACCTGAAGACACCCCAAAAAACATGGCTGACAAACAAGAGCTCCCCAGCTCAGAGAGCACATCTCCAATTTCTAGAACTGATGAAATTAGAAAAAATACCTACAGAACTCTGGACAGCCTGGAGCAGACCATTAAACAGCTCGAAAATACCATCAGTGAAATGAGCCCCCAAACCTTAGTCGATACCTCGTGCTCCTCCAACAGAGAGCCTGTCACAAGCTCGATCCACATAGCCCACGAGGCGTCTCCCCGCTCCTTGCTAGTTCTGGATGAAGTCCCCCCTGCCCTAGAGCCCCCCACGTCAGTGTCTTCAGCTTCACGTAAGGTATCTTGGTCTGATGGAAAATGAAAAGACCCAGCTTGCTTTCTTAAATCTGCCATAATCACCATTAGAAAAGGTGTCTTGTGATTTAATTGCTTTCTTTCAGGTGGCTCGTATTTTTTGTCTGTTCGCCATGATACCCTTCTCTCAAACTTTCTCCCTCACCTTCCCAACAACACCTAGGTGTCTAACAGCTAATCGACTCTGTTTTTACCTCTGTTGCTGATTGGTGTTGGGTAAATGTAAGATGCTGAGGCAGCCGTTTGCTGTTGAAGTGATCGCTCTGGTACTCACATTAAAATCCGTTTGATCAGTAGTGAGCAATTGATTTGATTTGATTCTTCCTATTAACCCAAGTTGGTGTCTCCTGGATCTGTCCTGCATGTAGGGCTCTGGCTTCTCACCTTGACTTTCTCTGCACACAGTGGGGCAGCCTTGGTAATAATTCACTCATGTGCTTCTCTCTCTCTCTCTCTCTCTCTCTCTCTCTCTCTCTCTTCCCCGCTTCTTGCTGCTCCTTCCCACAGGGCTCCAGTGCCACCCCCCAGACAAGCAGGATGCCAGTCCCTATGAGTTCCAAGAACAGACCCGGAAGCCTGGACAAACCTAGCAAGCAATCCAAACTGCAGGATCCTCGCCAATATCGCCAGGTAGTTTTACCTTAAACCCAATTTTGGATGGACACTATTGCAATTAAGAAGCCAGTCGCTGACTTATTTATACCAAATACTGTGTTTTCTTTGTAAGATATGGTTTACATAGACATCCTGGATCTGAGGGCATGAAGAAAGTCTTTAAGAAAAAAAAAAACTTTGTTAAACTTTCACTACGCTCTTGCATGCTTGCAATAAAACATCTTTTACTTTGTGACTCCAAATTTTAACTATTAACACACAGTGCCAGACCAATGGAATTGTCTTGGGTGAATGTAGTGCTTCATCAAAACACCTTGGGAAACAAAGACAAACCAACCTGTCATTGAACTGACCTTAAAGTCACCAATACTAACGTCTGTGTTGACTGCATTGTATTAGAAGCACCTTAACTCCACACAACAGTGCCTCACCCCCATCCCAATAATCATCCTGACGCATGGCCCGCCTGGCACATGGGAAATGGTAGTTGGAATGGTGTGTGTTCTGCCTCTCTGCCTCTTCTAAGTCTACTGTGCTATGTGCTTGGGGTGGGGGTGGGGGTGGGGTTCCTACCACTTCCAGAGAAACACAGCACTTAGCTCAGGCCTTGAACTGTTTTGTCGTTTTCCTATGATTGAACGATTCTCAGAAGGGCTGTGTTGCCAGGCCCTGTGGGTTGATCATGTTACCAGTTATCTGACAAATTGTCTCCCACCATCTTTGTTTGCAGGCTAATGGAAGTGCTAAGAAAGCTGGTGGGGATTGTAAACCTACTTCCCCCTCCTTACCTGCTTCTAAGATTCCAGCCTTTTCTCCCAGCTCTGGGAAAAGCAGTTCTCTGCCCTCTTCTAGTGGTGACAGCTCTAACCTCCCTAATCCACCTGCTACTAAACCATCGGTTACTTCTAACCCTCTCAGCCCCCAAACAGGACGATCTGCTCACTCCGCCTCCCTCATCCCTTCTGTCTCTAATGGCTCCTTAAAGTTCCAGAGCCCCACTCACACAGGTAAAGGTCACCACCTCTCATTCTCACTGCAGACTCAAAATGGCCGAGCAGCCCCCCCTTCTTCCTCCTCCTCCTCCCCTCCCTCCCCTGCCTCCCCGACCTCCCTGAATCAAGGTGCCAAGGGCCTGAGGACCACCTACACTCCTAGCCTCACCAGCTACAAGGCACAAAACGGAAGTTCAAGCAAAGCCACCCCGTCCACAGCAAAGGAAACTTCTTAAAGGCCAAATCCTATTAGGTACAAGGTGGAGTTAAATTTTGTTAAAACAAAAAAGTTTTCTAGCAGTCTACAACTGTTTTCATAAGAGAATGTAACATACTGCTGTACTGTTCCAGGCTTAATGCAAGTATGTGCTCAATACTGGGTTGATAGATTTCAGTAAGGCTTGTTTTGTTCTGTTTTTTTACATTGTTGCTGTTGTAACTACATAGTGTTTGCTGCCTACACTCAAGACCCATTAAATGAAGTCAGCATGTATAACAAAAAGAGTACAGTGAGAGCGAAGGATGTACGAGACAGAAAACTTGTATGAAGCATGTAAAACATGTATGATTCCAGAAATTTAGTATGTTTTGTATAAAAGTATTTTTCATTACAGAGACTAGAAGTGAACAGAGAAATACACAAGTGTGACTATATAAATTGTAAAACAGATATTATAATATTTCCTTTTATTTTAGTGTTATTTAGCTTTATTACAGATTTCTATTTTTGTCAAGACTTCATGGTTCCTTTCAAGATCTTTTTTGCCAAAACATTTTGATACTGTAGCATTGTACATTTGAGAGTAGCAAGACTCTAAGCCAAGAAACCTCTACACAAGCCAACAGGAGGGCATCTGTAGAAAGCAACTTAGCAAAACTATGGCACTGCCATAGAAAGTATGTATCATAATTTGCTAGCCCAAGCAAACTCGTTTTTGTTCCTTTCTTTTCGTTGTTGTTGTTTTAAACATAATGAGTTTCTCTGTTGTTTTCTCTACTGTAGCGACCCCCTTTGTTTTCTGAAACGTGGTAACCCACACAATTGCATTGTGGATTTTTAAATGTACACTTCCGTGTGGTTCTGTAGACTGACCGACTTTTGTAAATATATAAATACAAACAGACATAAAAATACTGTATGTGACAACACATAGAGTAGTTTTCCCACACCAAAGTTACTTTTTATGCATGCTTTAAAAATCTATATTGGGATGGGCAGAAATGAGACTATGATACATTTTTAAAAAGCAACACGTTTGCACAGCTAGAGTGTTTTTGTAAATAAATGTATTTGTATAACACAGTCATGTAATATACAGAACTATAAGCAGAGACTTTGCAAAACTAAATAAAGGGCTGCATGCTTATTATTTTTTGTACCTTGTCAGTATATCTACTTCCTAGTCAAAGAACATGTAACTCTTACTGAATGGTTTGGGTTTGAGGGCATTATAAGCAAACATGTGACTATACCCACGCACACCCAGCTTTTCTAAAAGCTCTGGGGTAGCTAACAATGAGTTCCTAATAAATTAATTGCAAGTGTGGGACCTTGGATGGAATTGGCTGGCTGCCTCTCTTCTCTTTGGCTTCTAAAGAGCAAACGTGGATACCAAGTTTCTACCCTCATTCCCTGGAGACATCCTTACTGCTTTCTCTTAAACTTCTGGTGAAAGTGGAACTAAAATGCTTTCCCCACTGGGATTTTTAAATTTTGAATTCTCAATTTTGAAAAAAAGCTTGTTGGTCTAGAGGGAAATATGGTTGCTAACATTGTATCATGTTTTCATTCAAAAACAATGGGAGGAAAAGTTCACGAAAACACCAAGATAATCTCAGGAACCTGCTTATCATTACTTTTCACCTCCAAAATATTTAACTTGGTGGTTGGATAGAAAGAGCAAATTGTCTTACATTTGAGAACTGGCAGTATGTTCCCACACTTCAGGCTTGCTGAACTGGATGTTTTCTGAAGTCTCTTCTCCTTAGGGCAGAGTTCAGATAGCACTCGGAAGGGTTTAGGTATAATAGTTTCCAACATTTCAATCATATCCCCTATCTCCTCAACAGTTACACTGTTATGTATATAATATAGATAACCACTCGCTAATTATCATACAGATAATAACTACTGTACAATATGTATAATACCTAATTTGTGCCAATTTTATTTGCTCCTGTTGATGGCCAAGCTGAGAATTCTTGGTTAGGAGCTACACAGCACCTAGTGGCTTCCTTCTGCAATTTAAATTTAGACTTCCCCATCTCTGGAAAGGTCATGTAGCTCACAGCCCTTCTCAGCCAGAGTCATGGAGGACAGAGCGTGTTCACCCAATAAGGGACAGGGACATCTCAGCCCAGATCTGATGACGAGCCTGATGGACATCTAGCAGTGTGCCACTTGTCTCCTTGGAAAATTGGAGGAGAAACTTCCATAACAGGAACCATATTCTGGTGTGCCTGTGACAGCAGGTACCACAACATTACCTGTCATACATTTGCTCAATAGAGTTTCTGCCTCACCACCCATTTTTAGGCATTCTTATGGCTGACATAACTTGTGTGAAACCCAGTCATACCCTGTCCCCTGTAGCCCAGTTACAACTCCCCCTCCCTGTGTGGTTGTTTGCAATATAGCACACTTACTCATCTCTGTGGCCCTAAACCCAACACACCTGCAGCTGCCCCACCATGATAAAAGGTAATGGTCAACAACAGAGACCTGTAAATAACTTCCACTCTGCACAGCCAATCCACACTCCCCATGGGAAAGCTGATCATGGACTTCAATAAAGGTTTGGCCCCAGGTCCTCCCTGACTCCCTCTCCAACTGCTTATGGTTTTCTTTACTGCCTCCAGACTTCTCCCCTCAGCCCTCATTTCCCAAGCCTCCTTTGGATCTGTAAGTAATCAATTTCTTCTGTTTCACAAGTTTGGTGTTTACTTCCTCCTGTGTCTCACATGTGGTGCACACCACATGGTCCTCCACCCCACTTCTGGCTAAGCTTTTTTCCTAGAGACTAGCTGTTTGCCTGTGGCCACTCTGAATAGAGTGATCTCAAGATCAAATTAAAAACCATGGCAATAAAAATTATGCCAGCATCTCAGTTACTTGAACATTAGCCAGGAAGAGTTGCTGGCTTCTCAGAGTTGGTTAAAATTTTATAACAGACATCACCCCTCAAGTCTCTTCTTTTGAACAAGATTTTTAGAAATACACCAAGTGGGTTTTTCAGGTTTATTCAACAACCCGAGACTCCATTGAACCAGTCCTGCTGAGCATCTGCACATAGCCACAAAATGTGGACTACAGCTGGGGGAACAGAGCCTGTGACCTCTGATGCCACTCCACTTCCTAGTTGTGCTCCTTTGAGCATGCTTCGGTTTCCTTAACAGTCAGTAGAGAATGAGAATGGAGTCTACCTCCCAGGATTGTTGGATTAAATACAGTGCATTCTGTTTTCAAAGTGAAACCTAACACATATTGAGTATTTGGTGGGTTAGTAGAGTGGGTCAAGTGGTAGAGGGCCTGCCTAGCAAGCGTGAGGTCCTGAGTTCAAATCCCCAGCACCATCAATAAATAAAACTTGAATTGAGTACTTGGTGAAGGTTAGGATTATTGCCACATTGCAATGATGGCGGCGACATTGTGTTGCCCTTGAGAGGCTTCTGGTCTGACGGAGATGAAGCATGAACCCCTGGGAGACCAAACCACATACAGGCAGGCAGGGGCGTCCTGAGTACTGATGGTTGACTGCAGAAGTCCAGAGCATGGGTGCCTTGCTCTATTGAGGTGATGGCGTTTGACCCTTGCAGGTGTAACACAGAACTTTAATGTCGAAACTCTGTGTCTTTCGGTACTGCCTGTGACTAGAACTCTTTCCAACAGAAAATAGACATACACCCAGTCTTAGAGAAAAACCAAAACCCTGAGAATCCCTGGCTGAAAGCAAGCAGTCCTTGTGAAAAGTTTGCATTCTGAGGCCAGGAGAGGGCACTCCAAAATTTGCCCACCCCAGAGCCCCAGATGCTGCCCATCCCTGGGAGAAGCACCAGGGGTCAGGAGGAAAAGGGACACCAACTGGGTACTGAGAGCTGGCTGGGCCACCATTCTCCTGTCCTTTAACCAGGATATAGCCAAACCCAGTCCACCTCCTAAATGGGTTGCCCTGTAATTCTAACCAACTTCCTTTCTGAACTCTGCAAATGTTTGAACAACCAGGAAGCTTTTCAGAGGAAGTTGAAGAGCAAGGACTGCATCAACCAACAATTCAAAAAGTACTTTTGCAAAAGTACCCAGATGACAGGATTTAAGAAAATACATCACCATGCAGCCCCTGCTCTAGCTCCTGAGGATGTAGTTTCCAAAGGAAAAAAAAAATAGGCCTCATGTTGTGTGGGAGTACATGCCTGTAATCCCAGCTACTTGGGAGGGGGAGGCAGGAGGATCTTGGTCCAAGGCCACCCTGGACAAAAGTATAAGCCCTATCTGAAAAATAAACTATAGCAAAAAGGGCTGGAGGCATGGTTGAAGAGGTGAGCTCCTGCCTGCAAACATGAAGTCTTGCATTGAAAGCCCAGTCCCACCAAAAATAAATAAATGGATAAAAACGGGATCTCAAGAGTGAGTCGAGAGAATTCCAGGCCATGCCAGAGCTGGCGCCCACTTTAGAAGCTGGATGCCCCGGAAGCAGGAGAGTTACATGCTCAAAACACACTGCTGAAAAAAGGAAGTAGTGGGCATACCTCAGATTTACTAAAAACGGTAAACTCTTAATTACAGGGATTTACAGGGATTCCTTAGTCCTCAGGGTTGCAGACACGCCGGCAGTTATAGGCACCTGGTGCCTGTTAGGATCCAGGTATTTTGAGAAGGAGCTCTGTGAGAAGGGCTCTGCCTTCCCTCCCCATCTCACTGTAGAGGCCATGAGGCTGAGGAGGCCGGGCAGGACTCAGACAGTGGGTTCTCTGCTGGGGTGGGGCTGCTCACGGTGCCCCTTGGAAAGGAGGTGGTGTTACCAGTGGTTTTCATTCCTGCATCAAATGAGTGAACATATTGCAGAAATTGTCCACAGAAGGGGTTACTAGGTTGCAAATTTCGATCACCTGCCTTCCCTTCAAAAGATGGGCAGGTGGGGAGTGCTGTGCTCAGGAGGCAGTCAGACGTCCTCACCTGGGCTGTTGCTTGTAGGAAGGGAAAGGAAACTGAATGGGTTTCTGGGAATTCCGCCTCCTCTTCCCCACAGCCCCCATAGGAGCCAGGAAAGGATGTTCCCTGCCAGGAAGGTCTTTCCCTACCCCTACCCAACATCACCGCTCCTCTACCCCAATTCTCCTGCTGGAGGGCAGTGGGCAGGCATGTCTCCTGAAAGGGTTTCTTGGGATGCCTTTGTGAAGGAGCATTTCAACCCTCTTGACCCTCCCAGGCACTCTTTAAACTACAAATGTTTTGAAGGAGAGAAAATTCTAGGTGATGTCTCCTTCCTACACACCTAGTTTCCAAAACAAGGCCATCGTGATACCTGTGACACACACAACCCCATCAGCAGAATTCAGTGAGAAATGCAGGTACATTTCTACCCGAATGGGGACTCAAACACCATGGACGTTGATGTGACTTTTCCCAAATAGTAGGCAACTCTGTTTAAAGGTTCAAACAAAGCAAAGTGCAATATGCCCTCCTTTTACAAATTCCTAGAAATTTCATTGCATGTTTTAAGAAAGTTAAAAAAAAAAAAGGCTTAGATATGAAGTGGACTTGGCCTCTGGACTCCAGTAACTATAAGCGGGATTTTTTCCTTATGTAAGTGTCCAGGAGACATTACCAGGCCCTGTTAGGGGTGAGACAGTCCCCCCCAGCAGATGCTACCATCCCTGAACCATGCCCACTGCACACCTAGGGGCTTCCGGCACTGCAGGGACAAAAATGCTCTCCACAAGTCATCCTGGGGGCAGCACTGCTTACAGTGACTGTTGAGTCATCAAAACCCAGGGGCACCCCACTCGCAGCACTTCAGGGACTCGTGGAAGGCTTAGTAGTATCTTAACATCCTACCACTTCTGGGGCTTCTTTACAGTAAAGACTACATCCATTTATGCACTCGTCATATGTGCCTGGAAGAGCAAGTGACTGACAACAAAAGCAACCCCACCTCTGAGCAACTGTGAGGAGGAAGGAATGGAAAGTCTTAGAGGAGCAAGCAGAAGCTCTGGGCGAGGCCAGTGGGCTCTGCCACAGACACTGTCTCCTGGGTGACCTGACAGGAAAAGATGGGGAACACAGGAATATACCCTGGCTGCAGAAGAACCCAGGAAAGCCCAGTCTTCCATTAGGACACCTAGGCCCAGGT